TTTTTTGGTACCAGGGATCGAACTCAGAACCTTGCACTTGCAAAGCAGGCTCCGGAACCACTGAGCTAAATCCCCGGCCCTTTGGCATGTTTTTAAAGTAGTTCTCCTACATATCACTTTCTGAGTATTAGATAAATGTTATGTTCTCTTATTGAGGTCTGAAGTGCTTGCTGCCTGATTGATAGAATCCATCTGCTTTCAGGTTCTTTGCCTGGCTTGGCAGTCTTACTAATCATTACCTTAATCATATATGCTTTGTGCTGAACTTTTATGTTACCATCTATTCCCTGGGACCATTCTGGTTTGTGGTAGAATATTCATTTTGTAATATGGCTTAAGAATATCAGTGTTATATGAATGGACAGTTCCCTCATCTACTTATAAAAATTGTCATGTTAAATTTTTATTCAAAGCATGTGTAAGTGTAGGAGTCTTAATATTCACTAATAGAGTAGCCCATTTAATTCTGAAGCTGATACATGTATTTTTACCTATCATATGTCATTTGAATCTTCTCATTTTACAGAATCAGGCTCTAGTTAAGCCCTAGTGAACACTAATTTGATTAGAATCTCCCAAGCCAATATTATACAGAGTTAATATTTACATTGCTTTTTGAAAACTTAGTTGTTAAACAGTGTTTTTTGTCTGAGCCTTTTGTTTATATCAGGACTTAATACTTTTGTTCATTTTAACCAGTAAGTATTTCTAAGGCACAAACTGCTATGATGGCACTCCCTTCTACAAGAACAAATACAACACCAGTCATAACCAATGTGGTATCATTGGCAAAAATACCTGCTGCCCAGCCTACAGGGATCACTAAGACTGTTTCAAAAGGTATGACTTGATGTAAAGACATTTGGCTAGAAAGCAGAGATGAGTGTTGCCTAGTTTAAGTGGCTCTTATTGGTAATATCTTTTTTATGTTATGTAAGGAACTGTATCCCTCTGTCTCTGGAGAGAGTGGTTAAGCAAAGTGATGTGGATGGGAAAAGAAGTGGTATGTGTGATTTACTTTTTTGAGAATGCAAATGATTTAGTATACCTGTTGTTTATACCAGACATTGTAATATAGTTGGATTGGTCTGTGACATGGTTATCCTTACTTTTACCAGGTACCACAGATGATATTGATGTAGCATTTCTTTGTACCATTTTTGAGAAATTTTGGTTCAGACCATAGCCCACTTTAGAGGAAATTAACTTTTTACTTACGTATATCCTGGGAATAATAATGTGTGTTTTAATTTATAACAGGTGCAGCTAGTAAAGAAGCAGTAAAAATCATTGAAGACGTAAGTTTTATTGTTAATATTTTTTCTGGATGAACCTACTTGGTTTACTTTCATTTATATGTTTGGGTACTTTTCTATTTGTGGCTTACTTTTTACAGAAGATACAGTAGTATTTGTGCATTAATTTCTTGTTTTGAATCTTACAGTTTGACCTTAGATGATTAATAAGAATATATTCTTGGGCTGGGGATTTAGTTCAGTGGTTCCACCGCCTGCCTCGCAAGCACAAGGTCCGGGGTTCGATCCCTGGTACCAAAAAAAAAAAAAAAAAAGAAAAATATATTCTGGATTTATTTTATTATT